CATCCCATAGCCTATGCTAATATGCGTACAACCCTAGGCATCCCATAGCCTATGCTAATATGCGTACAACCCTAGCCCATCCCATAGCATATGCTAATATGCTGCAGCAATGTTTTTTGTCTTGTTGTTTTCAATTTGAGGAAAAAATCTTGTATGAAAATCCTGCGTGGTCAATTACTAAGACTGTACAAAAGAGCCGTAAATATAATATTTTAAAGTGACATATATAATAGCGAATTGTAACAAACTAAATTTATAAAGTGAAATAGTCCAATTCAAAGGAACTAAACTGATAAATACATTGCATTTAACAATAATACACATAACGATACTCGAGATTATATGACACCATAGCTCAGTACACACTTTTCATCTCAGCGCATAATTTTAATGTAAAATGACTTATTAAATACCTTTTAATGTAAAATGACTTATTGAAGAAGATCGAAGCGTTACATCTTTTAAGAACTAATTTAGATATGCAGTCGAACTTAACAAACGGGGCTACCCACAGGCAGCCCAAGCAAGCATTTGCAGTAAATGTATGGGGCGAAAAAATATGTTGTTTTTTTTCCAAAAAAAATTGAACATATCTTGCTCCTGTGTTGCTGTTGATTGTATATAACATCATTCTGGGTAGTATTTAACTGTTTTAGAGCAGTTTTTGAGCTATTAGCCGACTAGTAAATAGAACTTAATAAAGAGGCTGGTGACTCCAGCTGGACACCACTCGTGTTCGATCGCCGCGGGGGAAAACATATCCAAAAACAATTCGATGATTCTTTTATACAGAAAACTGCATCATTTCGTTAGATCCCGAGTTTAGCTTTTTGAAATCCTCAAGATTATCTGCATGCTACACTTTTGGCTCCCGAAAAAGCGCAGATCACTTTCACTGATGGACACCGACTTAGACCGTTGACATTGTAACCGGGCCTAATTTTACGAATCTCCACATCTGATACACCGGCTTCCCTATGGATTTAGTCTAACATCCTATCTATAGTGTTACGCTCAGTTGTTTTTAAGGCAATTATCGATAGAAAGCATACTATGAGTAGCAAACAGTATTTACTTTTTGTCACAATCTAATGTAGAATGTGATGGCTTTGCCACTATTATGAACTAGACAACAATTAGGCAAGATCAATGATGCATGCAATATCTCTGTAGATGATTATGAAATTTCTCTTAGTTCATGTGTTACACATCGTGGCTCATGGTTTGATAATAAGTTGTCAATGTCAACGCATGTAACCAAAACCTGTAATGCTGCGTTTCACCTACATAATATTAGAAGGATTAAGAAGTATTTATCTCGAGATTTGTTATTAACGCTTATTCATGCTTTTATTACTAGTCGGTAGACTACTGTAATGGCCTTTTGTATGGCTTGCCTAAGTCGCAAATAGTTAAATTGCAACGTGTGCAGAATGCTGCGGCTAGACTTGTATTGAACTTAAGAAAGTACTCGCATATCAGTCCTGCGCTTTGTGAATTTCATTGGTTATCATGAGTACAATATCGTATTCATTTTGAAATTTTAATTTTAACATTTAGAGCTATCCATGGATTGGCGCCAAAGTATATTATAGAATTAATAAATATTAAACCTAGGTCGACATATAATCTTAGATCAAATGGAAGTTTCTTGTTAGACTCTCCTAAAGGGAAAATGCTTGTTACTCTAGGTGATAGATCTGCTGCTGCTCCATGTTTATGGAATAGTTTGCCATCTGAACTGCAAGATATTCAGTCATTAGCTGCTTTTAAGCGTAAGCTGAAAACTTATTTATTTCGTATAGCTTTTAAAGCGCACATAGATTACATATTCATTTTTCTAAAATTAGTATTAAAGTTTCTTTTTCTTATTGATGGGTTGCAAGCATTCCCAAGAGAGTCAAAAGACAAAAACATGGCGGCCATTGTGGTGCCGTCAACAGTGGATGCTAATGAGAAATGTTTTGTTAAATGGCACCAACATGGCCGCGATGACGTAACGTGCAATCGAAGAATTATTATAGTTATATATTTTACCGATATATTTGTGATTAGTTTCATAAATTTTGAAATTCTTTGTAGGATTTGACTGTAAAGCGCTGTTGATCAGGAAAAGTAAATAGGGCTTTAGAAGTTATTAAATTATTTATTTTATATTTATTATACACATTCCGACATTCATGACCGCAGCACCAATTAATGCAAATGTTAATTGAAAGTGACGCCATCATAATTTAGAGTAAATTTAAGTTAGCAGTCGAGAAGCCGTGGTACTTTTATAAATGATCCTCAATCGTGAGGCAAACAAATATGTGTCATTTGGTAGTTTGTACAATGAAAAACATTTTCCATTTAAATTATGTATCCTTTCTGTTTTCAGCAAATGCTACAAGGCTTGATTGCTGGACTTGTGAAGCCTCATCAATCGAAGAATGCCGTGCTACGAGAGTAGCACAAAAATGTGATGCATCCGCAGTTTGTACTAATCTTACTACAAACTCGCTAAACACCACCAGTGGAGAGGTAAAATATCTTATTTCTTCGTTATCGTAAGGCAAGTGGGAGGGCCATGGCATACATGTTGAAGGGTCATGGCCTCTGCCCTGTAGTGTCTGTTCTGTGAAAAGTGTTGGTGAAGTTCCCTGATATGACTGGTACTTGTATGTCCTGTATGATGTTATGACTAGGAAAATTGAAAATAGATCGCCACAGGGAAGTTGCTGTTCATATGTATTGAACGTAGATGCTCTGTAAATCTATCTTCTGGGCCGCGGCCTGTTTCCCCGATGTACAGTTTGTTGCACGCTTTACTAGTAACGCAGTACACCGCGTACCTAATACGTGTGGATCTTTCCTTAATGTTGAGTGGCCCTCCAGGGGTAATTGGTTGGTTGTGTTTCCATCAAACGTTAGTGACGGTTGCTATAGCACCAGTTCAAAACTAGTACAATGGTTATCTTTTAGCTTTGACTAATTAATGGAAATGTTCCTAAACAGTTCTTCAAAGAAGAACGCCATAAAACGTACTCAAGATATGAGGTTTCTTTGGCTGTAGATTTGATGAGAATACAATAGCAACCCATAATAAATCCATCGTTGCCGTTTGAAGTCTCCATCTATGTATAGCGATTATACAATCGAAAATGTGCAATAACGTACAAATCTTGAGGAACTGTCACTATTTGACTAAAAAGTCGTTTTTACCTTTTTGTTTTCCAAGATTACCAATATTATCAATAAGAAAAATTAGAAAACACTCTGGGCTTAGACGCAACAACTAAAAAGCCAATTCACAGTATGAACAAATCGACCAACCAATCGCAACGCAGATCATCATCAGACAAGCGTTGTATAACAGACACTTCATCCAGTCTATACCATCGCCTGATAAAGGCTATAAGTTTGCAGTGGAAAGATGGCAGTCCTTCTACGAAGGATCCGAAATCATTACTTAATTAAATAAGTATAGTTTGTTAATGTTATTGATATTCTTATCTTTATTATTATTATTTATTTATTTTGTGCCAGGAAACAACAAGGATGAAACTCGAATGCACTTTTGCTTCATTTTGCCAATATGAGAAAGGTGTGTGTGATACCCAAAATGGAACAATAAAGCCACCAATGAAAATGATAGAGTGTTCCTTTTCCTGCTGTACATCTGGCCCTGATTGTGTCAAAAGCCCTGATAACACTACAAATACTACAACTACTACACCTACCACAGTACCCACTACTTCCGCGCCTACCACGAAAACCCAAGGTAAGTTGAATGAGATATCTGTCGGCATTACTGCCAAAGCGGCATTTGTATACACCTATTTCAAAAAACGTTGTCGGTTGGATATCTGAATTCAAAAATCTGAGACCGATTAGAATTGTGGGGGACTGAGATTTTTCTCGTTACAAATTCAATATACACTTACCCAGACAAATTGCAAGCGCAGGTCATCGCTCAAAGTTAGTATATCAAGATATTATTTTTTTGCGAACTACTTATTAAAACCACAAAACAATTTACAGCTAAAAACCCACAATTCCTTTCGGTCTCAGATTTCGAGTCTTCGACCGACAACGTGTTTTGAAATAGGTGTAAACCTCTTTGCCTTGTGTTTAATGTTTTCAAATTTCAGACCATGTCTCATTTTCTAGAGTAACATTTCTTTGTTTAGTGGTTCTAATTTCAGACCACGTGTCATTCCCT